TTCTCTCTCTCTCTCTCTCTCTCTCTCTCTCTCTCTCTCTCTCTCTCTCTCTCTCTCTCTCTTTGCATTTCGTTCGGTATTTGAAAAACATTTTAATTTAATTAAATCCCAACCCATTAAAATTCATAATTAAAAATTTAACTTCTTATATATAAAAGCAAAGAGCAAATAGTTAAAATGACCACGATGATATAACTTCGAGTTCTAATAACAAGGAATTAAACTGTTGCATGCTGTCGTGCCAGTCGTTGAGTCGATACTACTTAATGACGCCATTTTATCGCGACAACCGAGATTTCGAATGCAAATCCGGCGAAAGGATTGTATATAGCGCTTTCAAGCAAGCTCGAGAGCTGTCTGGCGACGTAATTAAGACGTGAGAGTGCAAACAGTCGCGCGTATGTGTTAAATATAATAGATTTAATTCAATATACGTCAACTTAAATAAGTGTTAAAATGATATAATTTTAAGAAAAAGTTTTACAATTCAATATAATGAGAAATGATATTAACTATCAAATTAAAAAAGTTTGAATAAATATCGAATGGGGACGAGCAAAAATCAAACGTAAACCTGACTTTTTTAATCAGGGAAGAAAAGAGTAAAAAATAAAAGTAGAAGAAAAAATATTTCTAATATTTTGTCTGAATGAATCTGATAACGAAGAAAACGACTCGAAGACTTTGATAATACTTCACGTCGTATTGAAATCAATGCTTGCAAATGGACAAAGTTCTTCTCGTGTATTTTGCACATTCCTTTCATATTTCTTTTTTCATATTTATGATTTCCAAGTTCTCAAAAAAAAAAAAAAATGAACGACGAGATAAGAGAAGAAAGTTTACAATGAATAAATGAGAAGCTGGATTCCACGTTTAATTCTATAAACCTGTACGATAATGTTCCAATGCTACCCTTTACGAAATCAATATTGGATTCCACCAACGTTCTTAGAATGATCTGCAAAGCCCCCGATTGAAAATTATTTGAGCGTGAAATAACGCATGTGCAAAAAAAGAGAATTATTCTTATAATTCATATTCGTTCGTGTTTGAATCGCATTCACTTTCATACACGATTCTATGCGAATTAATAAATTGAAATTCATGTTGAATTATATCATTGTATTCGATCTTTAATCGAAATCGAAAATTAAATGAAAAATTTTGGTCGATAAAGATCGGTTGAATACCAATTTTTCTCGAGCTTTGTCCTTCGCGAGCTTTATCGCGATAAACTATAAGATTAAAGGTTAATTTATTCGAACAGAGCCTATTGCAATTCTCCTTTAATTGTACAATACAATTGTATCCCTACAAAATTTCTTTTACTTCTCACGGACACGTGGTGTACATGCATTTTCCTTCATAGGGTTTAGAAGACGCCAACGAGGGTATTTCCATGGCAACCATTGATCCTGCGGCTCTATCCCCCGATTCACTTCTATCTTCAAGTTTTTCTTCGCGTTTCTTTTATTTCGATATTTCCTCTCCTTTTACATCGATGAACGCCCACACGAGAGGGCGAAACGATCGACAAGCGGGGAAAAATTTTACAATGAAACATCCTATAAAAAATGGTCGTTTCGAGAAATGTGCACTCGCGATCGAGGAACACGAGATTTTTCTCGGAACGAATTTTATTCACGAAAGTAAGGTTTTATCGAGAAAGATAGGCAGGGATCCTCCTCGACAATTTGTTTTTAAAACGAAATGCGGCACGAGAATGAAAATGTTGCAACAATAATAACTTAAAGAAAAATATAAGATGGGAAATCGTAGGTAACATTGTTTTCTGATACGAACAATATATTATATTCTACAATGTTACAGGCATTCATATGCATGTATACGATGTATCCATTTATAAATAATATCAATCGAACTCACGTATAATAAATATCTGATAAAAATATGCTATTTGGATTCGTTCTTTGTTACATAAACGATAAAAAAAAATAATAAAATCGTTCAAGAAATAAGTACGCTTTATATTCAAGGATAATAAAGTTTTTTTTTTATATTCTTATTTACATTCCAATTCTCAAAAAAATTCTCTCTATCGAAAAAACTAGAAAACTTCTTCTTATAAAATATATGTAAAATAAGTTTACGAGAATCTTTTTATTCCTATATAAAACATTATTCCTTTTACGATCAATCTTTCGTTTCGTAAATATTCATCAAAAATTTATCATTCTCGAAAGGATAGGACCCCGTTTTCTCGATATCTTAAATCTCGTTTCGTAGATCGTGTTTTTCTCTCTCTCTCTTTCGTAGGACACAGGACTGCGTGAACGGCACCTTGTTAAAGGAGATCCCATTACCTCAACCGACCATCAACTTCACGAGTTTTCTGAACATATACGAGAAGAGTTTGCAATATCCAGTGGATCCTACGAATATCTATGTACCTGCGCAACGATCCCTCACGATCTACAACAGTTCTCGCCTCTACATCAATTTCGAGGGTTGCGTCAATACCCTAAAAGGGGAATGTAAAGATTTCCTCGCCACTCACGGCCGAGATGGCGACAATCAGACGGCGCAGAGTAGATATCCCTGTTACTACAACAAGGTATCCCAATTCTTCTTTGAGTTTCATTGTTTTGAAAGTTAAACTAATTTTTTTTTTTGTATAATGTGTAATTTATTTAGATATATTCGCTTACAAAAGTTACAAGAGACAAATCGATACGAGTTTCTTTCTATCTTGTAATCTTTAATTAGTATTTATTGCATATATATTTAAAAAATAATTTTATTGTTTATTTCTCTACGTTATTTTTAGTTATCAATCTATTCATCTCAGAGGATAAAAAAATATAAGATAAATTTGTCGTTTAATTTTTATCGGTAAATGTATTTAGATATTCCGTGAATATTTCTGCAATGTTAAATTAAGAACCTGTTGCTTCGAGCTACCATTTTTGCATGAGTTTCAATTTAAAAAGAGTGTTTCATAATTTACGTAATTTTCTGATTTATGAGAAAACTACAAGGAACAATTTCATAAAGAGATTTCTAATAATATTTTTGATATCTGTTATTAAAACGGAAAAAAAAAAAAAATTGTATCATTTCTTGCCTTTACTTTAACTCTAAAACAAATATTATTTTAAGAAGCTTTATAAAGCTCGAAACAAAATATATCCAGTGTGCTCGTGGCGCTACAATAGATTAATTCCATTAGAAAAACAACTCGATGCTTTCATCTCCGTCTAATCAAATTTCGAACTTGATAATACCATTCGCTACGTTTCAAGTCGTTACATAACTTTCATAGAATGGATATAGAACGAAATGAAACTTTTAGTCGAGGGAAAAATTACGCAACTAGAATTACAATAAATTTTCTCGAAATTAAATTATCACTTTAGCATGCAATAACGAACAAAAATTACCACAATGAAAACGTCTTCTAATTTTTCTACGAATATATATATATATATATATATACATGAACTAGTTATGCAATGATTATTTTATTCGAAACAAGGCAGCAGGAGATTTAATGAACGATTCGAGTGAAATTCTGTTTTGCCCACCACTTTTGTATCTTTCATTTCTATTTTTTTTCAATGAAAAATACATTCCTTTCCGCCGCGTTCCTCGTTCGGTTTTCCTTAATTGAATCTTGAAATTATTCTCTGAAATGTCACGGCAATTTTTAACGATCGACTCTCTCGTTTGTTTTTCTTTTTTTTTTTTTTTTTCGTGAATTAAATTACAGAATCCAACGAAGTGCAGTGCATTTAATTATTATTATTATTATTTTTGCACTAAATTTTCCCGTGATTCATGATTCGGAAAGCCTCGAATTTCGTGTGAAGATTCGTGAATATGCTGGACCTACCAGCATATATATTTTATTCATATCGTCTCGTGCGCGATTGCATCATTGAAAATGTTTCAAATGAAATATTTCAAACGTGATCGTTGCTGTTAAACTATTCGTCGATATATTTCGGGTGAATACATGATATAATGTGGAATAAATTATGGAAGATAATATTTGAAATACCCGAATATTGCGTGTAACATATAATAATTAATTAGCAATCGAAGATTGATGTATGAAATATGAATTCCAAGTTATAATATTTAATTATTGTTTTTCAAAGAATAATAATTTATTTCTTGATATTTTTCTACGAAATTTTTCTAATGTGAGAATGGAATATATATATATATATATATAAAAAATTGGATCGTTGTACAATTTTTATTATTTATTCAAACATCTTAAAAATTCCACAAATCTAATGAAAGAGATTGTCCGTTGAAATTAAACTATATTTCACGTGGAATTCCTTTGAAAAAGATAGGGCGAATATAAAGAAACCAAAGTGACCGACAGAGAGAAAATTCTATGAGGAAGCTATTTCATTTTTCATTAAGTATTCGTTCCATTACTAACCTAGATCTTGAATTTCTTAAGAAGCTTTTCTCTCGGTATCTATGCCTTCGCATTCTTAAAACGTCATTGCAATGTTTTTAACATTCTTCCCAATAAAGGGACGTAGTCAAGTGCACGAAAGAAATCATAAATTATTGTATATCATTATACAATACTAATATACATATCAAAACAGACATAGTATAAAATAACTATGCACACATATGTATATACGTTTGAAATCAATAAATATAATTAGAGTGCAAATATCATTTGAATCTAGTTTATTGATATTGTCATCAAGATACAGTTTATTTACCATTGTGTAATTGACAAGAAAGATAAAAGAAAATAGCATACGATAAAAGAAAATAGATTTCTATCCAATAAAATATTTACGAAAGATAAGATAAGAATTTTCGGTGTTCAGCCCTCCATTTCTTTTCAAAAATTTGAAAGAAAATCGAAATAGATCGCATGAACATCGTTTTCTATTTATTAACAGTCAGTCATCGAAGCAATTGCAATTATACAATTTGTTCCACAATAACTCGTATTACCTTGCAAAAATTTGAAGGATATCGTAGATAAGGATAAGCGAAGAATATGCGCGTTGTTTATTGCAAGTCACAAGCCATCACAAGGACGATTACTCAACGTTCATCCGCTATATCACTTCCAACTCCATTTGTCACAAAATAATTAAACAAAAATAATTAAGATGCGTAAAAGATTTTTCTAATTTTATCGTGCGCTCATTTTCAAAAAATTCAAAAAGGAGCAGCATCGCCAAGACTTTTCATTCCATTATAAAACAATACAATTCTAATTTACACATCTCCAACTTTCCTCCAACTCTTTTCAAAATTGAAAAAATAAAATTCATAACCAAAACAAATTCTGGACACGCATTGATTAACAATCACGAATCCATCCTTAAAAATAATTTCTTCTCAGAATAACGTTAGAAATACAATTTTAAAGAAAATCTCTAATTTTCCCACAACGTATGCTTCCACATGTTGGAGAAGAAAATCATAACTGAGATCAGATGTGCGTCGTTTCCTCGGAGTATTCCCGATATTTCCCGCGCGACTTCTTAATGCCATTTGTTTCAGAATAACTCACTGCTAGTCGTGGCACGTTTCGACCTGAACAAAACGCGGACGGAATTGCTGATCGCCATCATCGTGCCGTCCGGCCTGTTCGTCATCAGCCTCACCACCCTGATCGTGATAACGCGATCGGTGCAGGTGGGCGACGACGCGAAGATGCGTTGCCGCTACTGCGTGGACAAGCAAGAGGTCGAGGGCGAGGACGAAGGGCTGGTCGAGGCAACACCCTCCTCGTCTCAAGGCCAGATGAACGAGAACGAGATCAAAAGCATGGCGCTTTAGCAGTTTAAGGCGTCTGGGGCGAGCACCGTGCTCCGTTACGAGAGGGTGCCATTGATCGACACGGACGAAGCCGAGGATTCTTTTTGAATCACGATGATTATCACGTCTCCCTTCGCGGGGACACGATGTGAGCTTGATGGAACAATTGTTTCTTGGCAATTGTTGAATTCGCTTGGTGGACGTCGTTTACGTCGGGGATGGAGTTTAATTGCAGTGAGTAATAAAAATGTTCGGGCATTAAGAAGCATATGGTTAACTAAATGGTAATGTAAAACGTGGAGAAACAAGGTGGAATAAATTTTTCTTTCGAGGTCGTTTGAGATCTGTTTGTCGGGGACAATTCTCGAAAATCTATCTAAACGAGAAAAAAGAAATTTGATTCTACGTTTTTTTCTTTTTTATACGTAGAATAAATTCATTTGAGATTCATTGAGAAAATGATTACACGAGTTAACCACATCTTCGAAATTTTTCCCTGAATTGTTCACTGTATATATAAAACTGTTAAAAGCTGATTATTCTTTGTTGTTGTTGTTGTTTGTGGAACAATAAAAAGTGTATTCTTCTATGTGAAATTGACCGACATACGTGTATTTCTTTGTGTGAAATCGACTGATATGAAAAGAGACGAACTAAATCGTGCAGTTTTCGATTGTGCAAACGCTTCAGCTGTATCGCACTGTTTACGAACGAATTGATTGAACGCTTTTCGAAAAACGATCATCGACTCGATTAATCGCTATATAATACTTTTATAAAAATGTGAAATAATACAATTGACGATCAAAGATATCGTATTTTAAATCAAACTACATAAGAACAAAGGGTACAAGTGATTTAATTGTGATTGATAAAATTTTTTTAAACAGAAAGACTGATCTTTATTTATTTTTTTCTTTTCTTTTCTTCGATGAGCATAATCGTTTTTAATCCATCAGATTTTATTACGTGTCGAGACAAATCGAGCAAATCGGTCGAGTTGTTGAATTCGATTGGAATATTATCGATCAATTGGCGATTTGTAACATGCGTTCTCTTCGTGCAGTTTCCGTACGAGCGCACAATATATATGTGTTCGAAGTGAATATTTTATTGTTTTCGATATTATTCGATCCCCGTATAGGAATTTTATCACTCGTCCAAAGAGGAAAATTAAAGTCCTTGGCGCAGCACAAATATTTCCAATGAGAAATAAATTTCTCTGTTGGGCGTGTATCGAAAACAAAATTTCAGAATGAATCGAAAGGATATTGGATCGTCTTCCCGATGGAAAAAAAAAAAAAAAAAAGAAATTGAGGTGCGAGAAAAAGGTTTTAGAAATCACCCATATTAGGGGCCAAAGTAAATCGAACACTTTCACTGCGGATGTGTTCAACAAACTCTGTATGATTTTTAATATGTTTTAATTTTTAATAGAATTTTAAAAGAATAAAAAATATTTTAATTATAATATTCGAATTTCTCAATTATTTATTCAATGAATAAATAAAATATCATTCTGATTGATTAAAATCATTATTGAAAATTATTATAATTTTCACAGAAAATTGATTTTCATGCTTTTAAATCCGCAGTGAAAAAGATCAAATAATTATTTAATCGAACATTTGTATACTTCTTATGAATATTTACGTCATCACCGATGCCTTGAATGATTCTACTTTGAATATTTGAGCTAACGCGATATTCAATCCACAATATTAACATAATAATTCTTAAAAAGTCAGATTTCTTAAATATCCCAATTAAAGAAAGTACCTTTTACTTCGCCTTCGATGAAGAAAGTTTTTTTTAAAAATTAACGATAAGACTTACTTCTAAGAATTGACTTAATTGAAAATTCACGATCAAAGAAAGAAGCTTCGTATTAAATTTCGTAAATAGTTAAAGAATACACGCGATAAATATTTTCTTGATGTACAAATAATAGATCTCGTAGAATGGGGGAGGGAAGGGAAAGAAGAGGAGACAATTTTCAAATGAAAACGAGACATCAACTTGCGCAACAATACGATAGAGTATTATTAATCTGTTAATTGTAAAAAAAAAAAAAAATTACGTGTTTCTCCGTTGCTGATAATTTAAGGCACGATGGAAAAATGCCATAATGATGCTTTCGGTGTGTAAGGTAGATTAGAATTTATTCTGTAGAAGTTATTCGTTAGGTTTCCAGTTTTCGAGCGTACACTGAAACCGATTTAACCTCGGTTGATCTCGAGTTTCGACTGTCAACGAACGTACACATTATATTTCACACTTTGATAGTGTTGTGAAGCAAAATATAGAGTATAAACTAGTAAGGATTAAATAACGATTTATTATTTTACTAATATTTCGAACGCTACGATTTTCTATAGGGAAATCAATGGTGCCCTTCATTTGCGATAATTGCATAATTGAAAATTAATCATTAGACATTCGATTTTTTTTTTATTTAGCTTTTTGAAATCGAGTATATGGTATCGGTATATTATTATGATACGGAATTTTATACGGAAATTATTCGTGGTAAATTTTGCTTTATTCACAATTTAATGAGTAGCAGTATCAATTGAATGAACGACACCATTCTCCAACATAAAAATTTCTATTTACGAAACAAATGTAAATATAACGTGTATATTGATCAGGAACAAGTATGGTAGCTGTTACGCGAATAAATGTGTCATTCAGCAATTGCAGCTTCAAGCTATCCATTGTTAATCACGTTATGTAATACAATTTGAAATACCTGTTGTAATATGTCAATACCGGTTTAAGCGAATTTAGATCATTAAATTTGATATAAAATTAATAGTATCGCTAGTAATGGTATCAAAATTTTAAGCAAATTTGTTTAAAACACGATCTTTTCCTTTTTTTTTTTTTTCTTTTCGATTATCAAAATCTCTGTTTGAAGTAATTGTAATTTATCTATTTTTTTCTTGCGTTTACGAAATACTGTACATTATAAGCTGTGAAAATTAAATGTAAGAAAAAAAAAAAAAAAGAAAGAATACTGTATTCTCAACAAAATATAATATACGGACAAAGAATAGAGCGACAAATTTTCAGATTCATAATAAATTTCTATGTGCCTTCTTCCGTTTATGCTAAAATCGATAAACTATAATCACTCGTGTCTTCGAATATAGCGTAACTCTTTCGCTATAAATCACCATGAATCTATTTGAAAACTATTCTTACTTGGGGAAAATCTCTGTACAAAAAATGAATAAATATCAAATGGGAACAATAAAATAGAGGAGCTCGAATCAACTATAAATTTATATAATTGTTATATAAACTAAACTTGGAGAAAAGATGAGTCAAATGAATTTTTTGAATGTATCGAGTTAAAACAGCGAAAGGGTTAAGTGAACTGCGTCTAAAATAATAATAATAATAATAAAAAACAAAAACAATTCGAATAGATCTGTACTTGTACAAATAAATAATATATATATATGATATATATTTATGTTATATCCGTTTATCGTCTGAATATATTTGTAATGATATATATGTATGAGATAATGACAACTTATATGTGTCGTTTATAATAAAATAATTGTTTACTAAAAATTTTTAGATCCTTTTTATTTCATACTTTGTTTTTTTCTTTTCTTTAGCCTGCTAAAGAAGAAATTAAATGCATAAAAATATTCTCTCTACACATTCAATAAAGATCGAAGGAAAAAGCGGGTATTAAAAGGTAAATAGCAGTTTCATTACGTGCGAGAAATGCTTATTAAAGAAATGATTTGTTATGCATTGCATTGAGGGTGAATATGCACGCGATCGAAGATGTTATTAAAAGATACGATAATTAATTTGCACGTCTAAAAAATAACTTTATAGAGATGAAATTGAAAAACAATATAGAATTGCAAAAAGAAATATATACTATAAATTGAATTGCAATTTTATAGACATTTAAAAATAGAAATAAAAATATTGAGATGAAGAATACTTCTTGAATAAATTCGAATACAAATTAATGAAATCCACGATACGATCAAAATCGTAGCATGCATGGAAATAAATAATATATCTTTATTCGTATATTCACATCGCGTGTTCTCCAGCTGTACGAATCTAGATAAAATTCTTTCTCTCTACATTATAAATCATCTTTTCAATTACAATTCGAAAGTATTCATACAGTTCAAGTATCAGGGATAAGTCGATTTAATAATAAAATTCTTTAAAAGACTTTCTTCTTTAAAGCAAATATTGAATAAAAGCGCAATAACATTGCAATTGTTTGCGTGTTTTACCGTAATTCTTCTCGAGGACACGTTTCAAAGAATAGAATGATTATATTTATGTAATGATCAATTATACGGTAAATAAATTTCTTTTTTCATACGATACATTTATAAATTTAATAAATTTTAATAATATTCAAGGAAAAAAATAATATTATATCTACGAGTTTATTAATTACGTCGATAATATCGACGATTGCTCTACTTTTTCTATTTATAAAATTCACTGGGCTAAAAATCCAACGTTAATTACCTATCACCTTAATCAAAAAGGAAACAAAATCAAGTTCCATTGACAATCATCAAGCTTGAAATTAGGTCGAGAGATCGAGTACGTTCAGATCGTGTCAGATCAACATGTCAACCAATCGAACAATATTTATTCATTTTTCCTATCCTTTCATCGTTTCCTTCTCTCTTTTTTACTCCTTTAATATAGTGGTAATTTGAATGACCTCGAAAGAAAAAGCATCTTTACACCAGATAAAGTTCAGACCTTATTCGAAAGCATCAGATCGATACACTAATGTAATCAAAGACCTTGACGAAATCTACACACATGTAGATACGTTAACACCAAATGCTTAAAAAAGAATTTCTTTCTTTTTCTATCGATCGAAGAATTTTTAATTTTTTTGCAATTGCAAATTACGTGAATGTAAAATTTCAAACGAACAAAATAATAAACGTAATGACAATTATTACTTTGTGAAAAATAACAAGATTATATTGTTACAATATAATATTGTATACAATAATAATGAAACCTGACGAGACAGAATTAATTATTTTCGAGATAATTACGTGCTCAATTAACAATACCGTTGCAATATTACTACCGTTTAAATGTTTTAAGAATAGTACGTGTTAAAAAAAATTATTTATTTTGTTAAGAAAAAAGGATATTTTTAATATCTTTCATTATATAGATCGTTTCTTATCGTACTCGTTAATTTGTTACGTATAAAGGATCTCTCGTAATAAATGTAGTTTAATGAATACAGAATTTTCAGTGTATTCATTAAAAGCTTATTGTTTTTTATTAAATATTCAACTTTGAATTCAAAGCATTATTAAGAAGTTGGATTTTATTTTAACATAGCTGTGCTACAGTAAAGAAATATACAAAATTTATTTTGAGAAAATTACGAGCACGAGAAACGTGAAATATCGAATAAGAATAATTTATTAAATGGAAACGAAGTATGATATGATAATGAAATGTATAAAGAAATAATTACACTATTGGATATCACGTAAAGTATTACGTAAAATTATTTACAAACTGAATTAGAAACTGAATTAGAATGAACTTGAACAAAGTGAAATACATATCAATGCAAAAGAGGGATGACCAAAGACAAATTCTATTATTGATAGGTCATGGTTGAATGTACCTGGTAACATAAATGGAAATCACGCAATTATAGCTATTGATCGATAACAGAAATAGAAGAATCGTTTGACGAGTTCGTTCAACTAGCATGAATATTCCTTAAACATGGAACTCTTATATTTCTGACGAAATTTCCTTATTTATTGTATATGTTGAATTCAATGTATATTGATTTATCTCACGCAATAAAAGTTTTATGTTATTCGAATGAAATATACATAATATAAAATTACAATTCTGTGAACGCAATAGGATAAATTTTGAAAGAATTTTTAAATTATTGATTTTGGAATTGGTTTCACATGAAATCCAATTAATCGAATGATATAATAATAATACCTAATAGAATATAATTAATAGTTGTTTTTACAAAAATATAGATAAAAATGTTCATGGTATGTTAAAATTATACAGCCTGTAAATGTGATATAAAATAAAAATAACTATTTAACAGCACATATTTCTTATTCATTATTTCATGGGCTGTATCTGAAATGAATTAACCTACTTTAAAAAGAACATTGATGATCGATAATAAAATACGTCTATGCGCGCAAATCAATAATGATGATATATCGTTAAATGAAATATTGCTAAATATATTTCATTCAGGCAAAATAAATAAGGATAATAAATAAAATATTCATATAAATTATTGAACATTTAAATTTTTTGATAAATTAATATAATTCATTGTAAGTATTTAGTTTAATATTTGCATTAAAATATATATTCTATGTGATAATTATTTATAATAAACCATTTGTTATGTGACATATTGTGTATCCAAATATAAAATAATATACAATAATTATATTGTATGGTAAAAAAAAATATTTAAAAACTTACCTGCAAGATGAAAGGATATCTTATATTTACCATCAGTGAATATTTTAGTTAGCATGCAAAATATAATTACAAAATAGCTTTCTTCTTTTATGTAAATATTTTAATAATTATTTAATATATATTTAGTATGTTTACAATGTAAAATTAATTAACTAATGATTATTCAATAATTATTATCATCTGCTAATACATTAAAATAATAAATAAAATATAATCACAAATAAAATTTTATATATACACTATCTATGATCTATGTTAAATTTTTGTTTTATTTTACATATTTCTTTAAAGTTCTCTTATACTATTAAAATTACGATTTTAAAATGTCTATAAATTATCGATTCAAAAAATTAAAAGATTATTAAAATTTTAATTAAAAATTATAGATATAACTATAAAATTATAAGCAAAAAATGTAGATTTAAAATTCGAAAGTATATCTCTCGATATACGTACAAAGAAGAAAACTACTTTATCAACAAAATGAAAAATTCACTTACCTTAAGCTGTTCTTGACGTCTGTAAGCATGCAGCATTAGTTGTTTCCGTTCTTCTTCTGACATCAATGGTTCACGAGCAGGTTTTCCAGCTCCCCTTTTCTGCAGTTTCACAATGATTTTTGTCTTTTCATTCATCCCCAATAATCCTTTAATTTTTTTCCTATTATCATTTCTTTTCCTGAGAACCAAAGTTGTGCCAATTGCACGTCGATGACCTATAATAATAAATCATCAGCTCTGAGTATTAAAATTATAGAAAACAATGATTCCCAAAATTTTTTTTAAAAATTATAATAAAGTTCAAATGCTATAAATATTTGATACAATTTTAACTTAAGAATTATAACTTAATAATTATTACCTCTAGCGATGCTTGAGTTCCGCTCAAATCCTCCGTGTTCTCGAATTCTTGTTGAATGACATCATGAGGCGGAAGTCCCATTGGATAAACGATCATCACAGCACCTCTGAGAATGTCTAATGCTTCTTGGACTGTTTTCTGCGTCACCAATTTCTCTTGCTGTATCAATTTCTATAAATAACAAAATGACAAAAAACATTACAGAAACACGTTAGTATAATGCATAAAACGAAAATAGGAATAATCTATTCTCGAGTAGTATAAAAACGAGAAACGAGGAACACACACAGACACAAGGTAATTACTTCGAAACCATAGCTCGTGCCTCCTCGATCGTTTTCTTCAAGACCTCCTGCATTTTCGTGTTAGGTTGTTTGCCATTTCTCCGACCTGAAACATGGAAATCGCTTGTGGTTATATTCCGTCCGAGACTGGCGAGCAATTAATGCTACCATTACAAGCCCATTCGAGACAACAAAAATTCTGGTTAAGCCAATTTCTTGTCTACATCGCACATAGTATTTCCGATAACTATACATTTGCATGAGCCTTAAGCATAGCTGTTTAGATCAACATAAAATAAACTGCATCGTTAATCCTTCTTATGTACATTGAAAATACACGTTATATACTTCTTATGTGTACACGAGATTAATCTTTTGGTTACTTACTAAAATAACCACATGATCTAAAAAATGATTATCTTTTTTATGATTTAAATTATTTACTTAGTAAATATCGTAAAAGCAGAACATATAGCATAAAAATTTTTTTGCTTTACTTCAAATAGATACAAATATATAACAATGAAGATTAAGGTTAAGTGTTCGTAAAAATTGTCATATACTTAAGAATATTTATTTACAATATCATTCAGTGTGTTTCAATCAAGAAAAAACTAGATATGTATGCATAATTGAAATATATATCATAATATATGATATAATTAACCTATCAAAACTATATTCTATATGATTAATAGAAAACTACGAGTTAAACATTCAACTACTTTAGATTAATTATGAGAAACCAAAGTATTAAATAATTTATATGATTTTGTACTTACATTTTAGAAATAGATGAACAAAAGGTAGATGAATTATGTATTATATATCAAAACGAGCACAAATTAAAAATTAATCACGTACGAATAATGACAGATCCTTCCTTTTCTCTTTGTTCACAATACTGTCTCGCGCGTTTTCGAACGCCCGATTTTTGCCGAGCCGAACCGAAGTTAGACGAACTGTCGGCGACGCGCGCAACCCGATCCTACCCGAATCTTGCCGAATTTTTCGCGCTCGTTCCGACATTCCGAATTTTAATCAGTCGTCCGTCGAGTGTCTTAAAAGTGTCAAAGTGTTAAAAGTGATTTGTTTCTACGTACCAATAACATCCTTGTTGAAAGTCCAACCGCCCATCGGTACACATTTTTCACCCCATTCATCCTTGAGCTTCAATTCTTCAACCTGTTCGTCGGTAAGTCCCATCATATTATGAGGCAGCATGGTGCCGTGCTTGATCAATTCCTCGATTTCTATTTTTCGAAAGAATATGTACAAGTACACGATTAAGCGTAATTTTGCGTAATTACTATCCCGCCGCGACGTGTGACTAATATCACACTGCGGCCACGATGGATGGATTCATAAACTCGATCTTCTTATTACGCGGTATTATTACGAGCCGCAGGTGAAGTTTTCTCCGAGAGATAATTATTAATGGATTTCATACGTTAGTGTGTTCCAATTGCATAGGAACCAAGGTCTACTTTAAGAACGCGAGAAATATTTTCGAAATCTATAAGAATTTGTGCTAGGGTATACATGCAATCACATAAGTATTCGTAATTTCGTAAATTTATCATGATCATTGATTGAGAATTTAATAATATAATAATATAATTTAATAATAAAATTATTTTTTTTTCTTCTTTTGAACCTATTCATGATTTCGTGGAAGAGCGATCGATTGTTGGCGATTGAAAATTATTATGAAATATTTTTTTACATCTATTTCTCTTCGTGAAATCAAAACTTAATAATCACGTTTTTAAAAAAATTAAACTGTCGATAACAGTTCTTATACCATAATCAAACAACATATATAAAAACAAACAAATAAAGTATAAATAACAAACAAGGTAGAAAATGAAGCTATTTTATATTATGCAGCAATTTTCTGTAGTAAACCCTTCTCATATTATTCAGTAGAATATTTATAAAATATAACTCTATATAAATAAAATCTCTTGAGTGTTCATCAAAATAAAAAATGGAATTCTTCTCTGAAAATAGCGAAGGATCAAAGCAGGATAGAGACGTAAACCTTTTCTACTTTAATGAAAATGAATAAATAAGCGGCAATATATAAGCAGGATTAAAACGCGTCATTGGATTAATGGCATAATCGAAGAATAAATGAAGGGATACGTAAACTCGTTATCGTTAATAAAATCATTGGCATTGGATGGGTAATTCCTGATAAAATTGTTCGAATGGCCGACGTTGCACAGACGTGAAAATAAAAAAAGGCCATGATAATAATGCGTTGCACGCTGTTACCTCGAGACAGTTTATACCACTTATCTCGCGAGCCTGTGACCGTCCGTGCCTAAATAAAGTGCAACTTTCACGGATAGGCGGACAGGTTTTCTTTTGCCACGTTATTAGATATGTCATCTTTCTCGACCCGATTCACTCTCGTTCGAGATACAAGGGATCATTACCGTAACATATTCTTGAAACCTTCAGTCGGCCGTTGTAAATGATGGTAATGTCGTATATAATGTCTTCAACCCGAGCCTCCACGTGAGTATCGTACAGAAAATGGCTCTCCTCGCCTTTTTTCACGTGCAATCGAACCATTTTCTCGGAAAGCTTGGAACAAAGTATAGGTTCACAAGTGATTGACTTTGGCTCCTACCTTTAATATATATTTCACCTTATTTTAAAGAAGTAAAACTAACGTGAGATGAACTTTACTTGTGTTCAATGATAGTTTGAATGGATTAGATATTGTCATTACGATTATAATAAGATTTAGTTACGAATAGAACGAATGAAAAGATTTTCTATTTTAATCATAATCCATTAACATTCTGAATTTTTGAAGATTAATAAACTAATGATAAGTAAACTTGTAATATTGATTAAAAGGTTACCTTTTGATAAGCTAGTCCAATATATAATAAATTGCTTTACGTCAATCAAACGATGATTAAAAAAAAAAAAACACCAAAATTGATTGTTCAACTGCAATTGAAAAGTTTATCTATGCGATATTGTAAAAAGCACGTGTTGTACAACGGTAATAAGCGAAAATAGCGGCTTATATCCGGCAAGATGATCGAGAAACGGCAGGATCGTGGCACGAACGTGAACAGTAACACTGACGTATTGTTCTTGGTAACACGAAGTATCGATTAAACAGCTCGAAATGCGATAAACCGCTTTTAACTGCATCTGTTGTCCGTTGCACAACTAGAAACTAATAACTTACGTGTCTGATCACTTCTTGTTTCCGAAGAATACACTTTACAGAGGTATAATTAAATATGCACGAGCAAATAAGGTATACAAAATAAAACGATCTCGTTTAATGAGTATATAATCGTGTTTCATTATTGTATAATATACATATTTACATTCTAGTGAAACACGGATTACAAGAATAAAGACGGTCATATATCGTTACAAATAACGGAGAAACATGCAGACGTGTGTTCTCTCTCTCTCTCTCTCTCTCTTCATTTTTCTCTTTTCCTCTCTTCTCTCTCTCTCAAACACGCGCATACACACACTCACATACACTTTTTCATTCATTCGTGCTCCCTACTGGCGTTTTTTGGACACAAAAATATCATCGATATATTTCTTTCTTCTCCATATATAATTACTTTATATCAATAATATTATAATAATAATATTAATATAATAATAATAATAATAATAATAATAATTAAATATTCTCGACGTAACGTTCGTAGAATAAAAATCTATACACTTATATCCGTATTCGTTAAACTTCATCTAAATTGTAAGTTGACTAGTATTATGTTAAAATACACTTATAATTCGATGAGGTGTATCTTTTTATCCAGGTCGTTTCTCTTCTCGATCCGGTATATATCATACTTCCTTCCTTCTTATTATCGTTTTATTCTACGGTGTTTTTAGCGGGGGGATGAAGGGGGGGTCCGAACGAAGGTGGTCCCTATATATATGCGTTAATCATGGTGCATGCACGAACGTTATTTCGAAACAACGACGATTTCGTGTTAAATGGTCGACTGGCCGAGAAAACAGTTTCCCGAAACCGCCGAATTCACATTTACAATTTCAGAGTGGACAATTAACAATAAACTCTGTGACAAATTTTTTTTCAACGCTTCAACATCGATATAAGAATGTGACAATGACGATTGCTTAATTAACACGAGGTTTAAATTGGTTTAAACGCCCTTACGCGAAGGGCGCGAGAACTTACACGTTTACTCAAAATCCTTTCGCATTGCTCGATTAAATCGGATTAATCGTGAATAATAGGGTACATGTGATTGGGGAGGGACGTAATTTACGACCATCTGATAAAAAAAACGCAATTTGGAAACATTGGAACGCACAAGCAGAACGCATTGAACGACGGTTGTTTCTCGTTTTGTGTCAATCTTTCTTTTCTTTTTTTTTTCTTTTTTCTTTTTTTCTTTGTTGTATATAAATAGAGAATATACACGCATACACACGTTGTATAATGCGTACCCATATAATAACGTACGAATAATTTACACACGGTTTCTCCTGGTCGTCTAAATCGTCGTGACATTTACAAAAAGAATCGTTCTAAAAGAACCATGTTCTCGATACAACAGCGTGATATGATACAATAGAAAAATTGGCATTTGGTCCGAAAGAAACATACAAAATAGGGATTTCTTATACGCTATAACGATGAAATATAATATTGTGCGCGACTTCTTTCTCCTATCTAATATTCGCTTATATATCATTTGGTGAGATTAAAACATCGTGCGACGCGGAAAATACATAGACTGCATTTTGTAGCATAACTACGATCGAAAAATATTTTTACGTCCTTTTTTCTTTTTTTCTTTTTTTTCTTTTTTTTCTTTTTCTTTTACATGCTTCGCGTATATATTTCAATCGATACGATTATTAAAATCATCTAGTTAAACCATCGAGAAGGCATCGGTTTACTCGTTAAGGGTAGCAGCATTCTTCTTCTTACTTCGACGAAATTCTATTATATTTGTTATCGCCGAGGATAAAAGCTTCGTTCGCGGAACTTCGATTAGCGATATAACATCGGATTATGGATACTTGTAAAAATAATATATTATATCCTACATACACAGGGGGGAAACATGTACTAGCCCATTTTAATTCGGTCTCCTGCCATTTCTTTTTTTTTTCTTTTTTTTTTTTTTTTTTAACGTACTTTCACGATCACTGGACGGCAAGATCCTTGGACAATAAAACGTCAAACAGAGAGAATTTTATAATTACGATAACAATAAATTCTTTTCTTTTTCATCCTCTAACAACATGGTTAATAATAGTAATAATTCGAGGTCTAACGCTATACATCTCAGGCTTCAACAAAAATTGCTTCACATCGATTAAAGCTTGTGCATGGTATCGTTAACGTTTCTTGTTTTTTCTTTCTCTTCTTTTTTTTTTTTTTTCGCTATTTCGCTTCCTCTATTTTCTTTTATAAGTATTGTTTTAATCAACTCGAGAAACGCGCGATGGGGTTCATCTTCGATAACGAGTTGAGAATTTTTCTCGTAGATCCATTATTTTCTTCAATATCCTTTAAATTCTTGGTCATGGTATTGATGAAGTTGGATACGACCATCGATGTTTCCTTTATTCCTCGTCAATAGTGGGTTGAACCTGTCGCACATCCTTTAGAATCCTGTGTTCCTGATTTTGATCATCCTGTTCCTCTAGAGTCGTGTAAGGACCGTGCAACGGTGATCGTTGCACGGTTGCTTCCTCTCAGACTTTACTCTCGGGGCCATCTGTCGTGTGCTTGAACGAATTGCGAATTTTACTGAGGTGAAGGGCAGCAAGGTGACCGTAGCTTTTGTTATACCATTCTGGAGTGCGTCCTCTGACAAAAAAAAAAAAAAGAAAGAAAAACGAAGACAGACATTAGTGAGAAGAAACTAAGTAAGAATTCTCAATAACGAAAGTGAACTAAAAAGAAGATATACGTACTTTGTATCCACTCTGGAAAGGTGCATGATCCGTGATTTACCACTACCGCAAGGTTCGATGAGATAGCGCGATGCTAAAACAATACCACGTGTTCCACCAAGCATAACAGGAGCATCCGGATGTTCGACGGACGTTTCTACGATGACGCAGGCCCCTTTGGGGAAATCGTTACGCCAGGATCTGCATGCAATGCAGCAACGTTACATAACATAACAACAATCTATTCTATTCTCCCTCTTTTACAACAACTCTTTATAAATCACTTTTGCTCATTTGTCATTATTTCGCCTATTCGATTCAATATCGGTGTTGAGAATAAATTCAAACACACACCTTAGCACACAATAATCCCTGGCAGGAAGAGGACTCATGTTCCCGGTGGCGTATTGAAAGACCTCCACGTTGGTGTCCAGCTTGGCGACCAATCTATACTTCAAAAGCTGAGGATCCCAGATATGCCTTTCCCTCAGTACACGATGAAGAAGCTCGTTCGGTGGAGCTTCAACCTCAGTCGACACTCGCCACAGTCGAAGTGGATGTCCGTCACCCACTTTCTTGTATGCCATTTCTACCGTACTGTCGGCTGGATTGTTCACAGTGACCCATCCTCGACTTCTGCGAACAGAAAGGAAAAGATTAATATTCTTTGTAAAAAAAATTCAGAGAGGAGTGTATCTTCGAGTATAATACATACTTCTCGCGCGCTTCTTTCAACAAAGCTGTGGTACACGCGTAAAGGTATCCTCTCCAATCTTGCTTCAGTTCAGATCCCAGTTCCTCCAAGGCGACCGGCACGCTTTCTTCCATATAATTAAAATGACACTGCGTCAACATATCCGAAGAAACCTGGCGGAACCAAGAGAAGAAAAGAATCAACTCGTATTTCCTTTTCGACTCGCGAGGATGTGTATATACATATATAAATATATATCTCGAATTCGAATTTGATCAGAATCGCCGTTTCGAGACGACGGATGAACGACTCCTCTCGAACGACCTGGACGTTCGGCATCGAGCCACTCACCATGAATAATTCACGATGCATCTTGACCAGATACAGAAGACAGTCGTGAGCGGCTTTGTTTTCCGACAGTTCCCTCTGATCGGGAATGCCCACGGTCTTTCTCCTACGTGGCGATACGCTGCTCGACCTGTTGGTCACGTTCGTGTTACTGTGGTTGAAGTGGAACAGGCTCGGTGCCAGGCACACGGCCAGGTTCGAGGCTGTCATTTGGTTGTAGGGAGCGTTGCTCGCTACGTGGTTCAAGAAATCGAGCAGAGTCTCCAACGCCTCCCGATGCTCGTCTGGCAGAAGAAGGAGCACGCATTGCACCGCGTCCGGCCGCAGCTTAACAGGTACGTCTGCAACACAATTATCGACACACCTGTAATTATCCGCTCCACCTCTTAATCGTCTTTCGTCGATAAATCATCGATCGATTCGAAGACGATACGACGACCAAGAATATTCTAGCTGAAACTACTCACGTTGGAAGATAGCGATGAACGTCTCGGACAATTTGTTGGTCAACAGAGCTTCCGGCAATTCTCTGAAGTACTGTTTCACGAGGTCGGCCACGTCGAAGGCCTGCTGGCCGTCGAAATTGATGTTGTCCCCCAAAGTTTCGGTCATCATTTTCAATTTCTGTATCCTCGACTTGACCCCGCTCTTCCTGAAGATCCCAACCTGGTCGAGGGCGTTCGCTCTCAGCCATCTGAGCGCGATCTGAATACACTTTGGCAAGGCCTGGCCGGTTCTCTGCAGGGACAACAGCAACGGTACCCCGAACACCGTCTTGTCCTTGTAATCGGGCGTCTTTATCTTCCTGATGAACTTGGGCAGCTCCCAGTTCCAGCCGGTGCGATGAGTCGGGCAATATCGTTCCATGCACGCGGTCAACTTCAACAGTGCCAACTTCCTGAGCACCAAGAGTTGGCCGCACGACATCGAGGCCATGGCCCGTGGACACAGTGGATCGAGCGGTTCGGGGTACAGGGACCCCCTCTGGAAACTGTGCCACCTGACAACGGTACCCTTGTGCCTGGGCGAATCCTCCTCCTGATCCGAATCACGGCTGGCAACCGTCGAGCTGCTCTCTTGACTTCCGGCCAGCTCCGAGCTCCTCGATCTCGATTTCTCCCTGTAAACCGTCACCTCCTTCGACAAAGGTTTCCCCTCCCTGTAAGAGTCGTCACGATGCCTGAAACTCTTGTGCATCTTGTCCTCCCTCTTCAAAGCGGCCACCTTGTCCTCCTTGTACCTCTCCTGATTCTGGCCCTGCGACAACTTGTCCCTGTACCTCTGCGACTCCTTCCCAAGATTCAGGCTCCCACCGCGGCTGTTTATGGGAGTTTTGGTCGGCGAATCCTTGGGGCTTTGGGGATGGGCAGTCACGTATTCCAACACCTTGGCATGATTGCTGTTCGCGTCTCTGAAATACCTGTGCCGCCAACTGGTAGGCTGACACTCGGAGTCGCTGAACGCCCCTTGATCCTCCCGGCCCCGGTGCAAGAACCTTCTCGCCCGGTTCATCTTGGTTCGTGTCGGCGTGGGCGTGGGGCCACCTCCTTGCGACCCGTCCGAGCAATAACTCGACGAATCGTCGCCGAACGGGCTGGGCGCGTTGGCCAGGGGCGAGGGAGGAAGGTGATAGGGGGACGCGGGCAGCGTGACGGGGGATCCGGGCGCGTGAAGGGGCGAGCCAGGCAGAAGATCGTTGAAGGAGACGGGCGCTGGCCCCGTCAGCGACACGTCCACGCAGTTCAGCTCCTTCATCTTCTCCTGCATCGATATCACGTCCACGATTTGGGGGCCGCTGATCACGATCCCGTCGCGATTCTGGTGCTTTCGCCGCCGTGATTTCAACGACTCGACCCGCCTGAGGAACGCTTTGGCCCCGTCCCTCAGCCTCTCGGACCCGGTTCTGCGAAATCTCGGCCCGATCTCGTCGGGAAGCGTGCCAGGTGGCAGGCTGCTGTATCTGAGCGTGTCCAGCATCGTGTCCTCGGCCTCCTCGGCCTCCAGCCGATCCTCCAGAGAATCCTCCTCGGATTGCACCGTCTGCCCGGCGATCGCCTGCAACCTCTCCACGTTCGCCTGCGTCACGTCGCACACGCGGGACCAGCGCCTCGTTTTCTTCTCGAACGTCCAATTCTCGCTGAGGGCGCACTGTGTATCTTCGTCCGAATCATCGCCGCCACCCTGCGAGGAATTAAAGGAGAAGAAGCGAGGTGAGCGGATTACGAAAACGGTGCCCTTAATTAAAGGGAAAGTTACGAAACGCGCGGCCTTAATCGCGCATCTCATTTGCATAAGTAACGACCCGTGCCGGTCATAAACCGAGGAAAAGAATCCTTCCTCCTCCTTCTTTCGTTCTTTCTTTCGCCCGCGGCCAACGATGCAGACGACGATACGATTTCGTTTTGAGGATCGTAGGATCGAGTCTAGACCTCGATAAATTTCAAATTACGCGCTGTGTCGTGATCCAAACTTGGTGGCTAATTCCAACTTGTTATTTTTTCTCTCCCCCCCTCTTTCTCTCTCTGTTTCTTTCTCTCTGCTTGCTTTATTACGGGTGCAAGAAAGAGACTGGTGGAAGATTACAACGAACTAATGACGCGATTCAGAGGAGACGTGACTCATGATACGTACGGTGGTCGGACTCGTACGGTTCGAGAATGAGGAGAAACGTTTCGTGCGAGATTAACGACTCGTAGCGAATGTTTAGCGGCCACCAGTGGCACCAGTTGATAATCAATTTGCGTTTGATGTAGCGACAAATTAAGGACCACCGTAGAGGACGCTATCGTGCGTTGTAATTAATTGTAGAAAGCGTTCCGAGCTCGGCTGCTTTTACCTACGATCACTCGCAATCGGCTGTGACACTGTACGTAAGCTGTGGAAGATGAATGATTCTTCCGGCACGCGCAAGAGGAAAAAGGCGTGAATTTCTTGCGTAAAAATCGATATTATTATTTTTTTTTTCAAGCAATCGCGTTTTACGCTCCGTTTTTAATCAGATTTAAATTTTAACAACGTTTAAAATAGAAATGAAACGTCGATCCCGTTCTTCTTTTTTCACAAAGCTAATCCCGAGTGATTGTACTCGAAGAGACACGTACGAAGAAGAAGAAAAGAGAAAGGAGAGTTGCGTAAACGTGCGTGTTTACAAATTAGCAGAACTCTCTTTTGTAAATAAATAAATTAAGAGTGATTTCTGGTTACACACTTTTGTAAGGAAAAATTTGCTCAAAACCTTACACCTTATAACTTGTTTAAAATTCTAACAAATATTCTTCGTCTCGGCAATGTAAACTACATCTTCACAAATCTTACATACTTTTCATTCCTAATCAAGACTGACCCTATCAATCGTATTAATTTAGATACACAAAACTAAGGCTCACTCGGGAAGATTGATATTTCTTCACTTTATAATAGATAGAAACGACAGGTCATATATTTAAAAAAGAAAAAGAATACGAATCATGGACACAAATTAACGAGCCAATGCCTGAAAACGCATTCCTCGAGATTCTCACACAACCGAGCCGCTTATCAGCGTGGCAACGGATCGTGGGATTCGACTGGAAGGAACGTCTTCGGATCGAGGCCACGGATGACTAAACCGAAACGGTGTTCCTCCGGACGAAGAGCCAGTCCGTTTTCTAACAATAAAACCGACACTCTGTCGCTCGTTACGAAACTTGACGCCTTTGTTGTTTCCACGTAGGGCTCCGGGAGTGTGTGACCTTACGTGATCCTCGGCCACATGACAATGGACCGGATTTCACCTCGCGCCTCTTCGCACGGTTTCCATCGGCGGTGGCATCGTGGCTCAACCAGCTGAACTCTTCCTGGACGGGAGGGAGGAGGAGTTGAGAATCACGACCCAACCATACCCGCCATTTTTCCATTCCATTTCGCGGCATTCGATTCATGAAGACATAATGGAAGCTGTCCCGCTACGCCGACGAATTCGAGACGACTCGTCTAATCGATGCATGTACCGTTCTCTCTCTCTCTCTCTGCTTTCGCGGACGAACTCGAGGGATCTTGAGGAGAATTTTCTTTGCGGCTGATTCTTGGTATTTTGCTTGTGGTATCTTTTTTTTTTTGGAAGGAAGGATGACAAAAAAGATTTTATAGAAAATCTTGGATGCTAATGATGCTATGTTATTACGAGGATTTTATTTTGTTACGTGAGGTGTAAAAAGAAAAATCGATTTTTAAGTAATCTCATCAATTACGATCATCGGTTTAAGGATTTATTTTCAGCGTGAAGAAGAGGATAGAATTTCGATAGAATTTCTGATCAACTACTATATATCCGTAAAATCACACTTTTCCTTTCCTTTGACGTAACGTAGAAATTTAACGTTGAATGGAGAGGCACAGCGGTGCACTAATAGAAATATAAATAACAGATTCACTTACGGCCAACCAATCATTCCGCGGTAAGCTTATCACGTCTTAAAAGGCTGGGGACCTTAATGGCTGTGGTAGCAAATAGAGCGAGGGTATTTATGAATATTTACGCTAGCAACGTGCGTCTATATTTTTTTTTTTCCCCTCTCTCAGGGTGTAACGTTATTACGGTGATAAATTTTAATCGCGGCGCCGGTCAGTAAGATCGTTAAAAAGAATTACCAGAGCGTTCGAGGAAAGGGAAACGCGATGAAATGACACGCAAAGTGGCCACATAGCTTTCGTAAACGCAGAGAAATGCCGGGGCTTCTGTTTCTTTTCTTCTCTATTTTTCTCCATTTCTTCTCTCTCTCTCTCTCTCTCTCAACCTCCTCTTTTTTATTTCTCGTCGATGAACGTCACGAAACGAGAAGAGACGAGGCTATTCGATTACGCGAGGAAATAATCAACGAGCTCGGATGTGGGCCACGGTTAAAAATACGCGGCAATGCAGAAATGGGATATCTGTTAAGAATAAACCGACCGGAATAGATTTTTCGAATCGTCGATGCGTTTCCAGACGATCTAGTTGCCAGTCGATCATCCAATTGGACGCTGTAATAATTTCGCAGTCGTTGTATGCTAGATGAAAAACTCGAACGATTACTCCTCGTTAAATCTTGGTTGGAAACGATGACATTGACGCTTACAAGTCCTCGAATTAATTTAAAGAGGAAATATATATAGGTCGGAGTTGGGGGGGGTGAAAAAAAAATTTCTTCTTCGTACTAGTTTCAATTCCAATCGAGTCATCGAGTTATCTTTCGGACCATTTGACTTAATTTCATCGTAAAAATGTGACGCAAATACGGTGAAAGTTCTTCTTCATTCCACGTCGAAAATTTTTTTACCGCATGGTTCATTTTCTATGATTGGTTTCCCGATAAAAATCAACTTCTGCTTAAATTTATTTGTGTTTCGACTCGGTTCGACGTTGAGAACAGTATTATTATCATTATTCTTTCTTCGTTAATTTTTATAGAAAAAGATCTCTCAACCTCCTCTTTTTTATTCTCGTCGATGAACGTCACGAAACGAGAAGAGACGAGGCTATTCGATTACGCGAGGAAATAATCAACGAGCTCGGATGTGGGCCACGGTTAAAAATACGCGGCAATGCAGAAATGGGATATCTGTTAAGAATAAACCGACCGGAATAGATTTTTCGAATCGTCGATGCGTTTCCAGACGATCTAGTTGCCAGTCGATCATCCAATTGGACGCTGTAATAATTTCGCAGTCGTTGTATGCTAGATGAAAAACTCGAACGATTACTCCTCGTTAAATCTTGGTTGGAAACGATGACATTGACGCTTACAAGTCCTCGAATTAATTTAAAGAGGAAATATATATAGGTCGGAGTTGGGGGGGGTGAAAAAAAAATTTCTTCTTCGTACTAGTTTCAATTCCAATCGAGTCATCGAGTTATCTTTCGGACCATTTGACTTAATTTCATCGTAAAAATGTGACGCAAATACGGTGAAAGTTCTTCTTCATTCCACGTCGAAAATTTTTTTACCGCATGGTTCATTTTCTATGATTGGTTTCCCGATAAAAATCAACTTCTGCTTAAATTTATTTGTGTTTCGACTCGGTTCGACGTTGAGAACAGTATTATTATCATTATTCTTTCTTCGTTAATTTTTATAGAAAAAGATTTCTAGAAACGGATTAACGACGAGTATAGATATCTTCTAGTAACTTTTACATCGCTACAAGTACCATGTATTTAGAAGAAGAAAAGCTAGGTAGCTCAAGAACCCTGTATAATAACCAGATAATTAATTATTAAACAAAATAATACTTAACAACATTACGATCTCTTATTACGATCTTTCTTTTTTCTTTTTTCTTTTCTTTTTTTTTTTTGTCACGAACGCAATAAAAAAAGAAGAGAGGGGAGGAGGGAGAGAGGGAGAGAGGGGGGAGGAGGGACAAAAAACAAAGCTTAAATTCCAACCAATTACAATAAATACCGCGTGAAAGGAATTCTCGGCTCGAGAAAAATTTAAGACTCGCCATCTCAAAGACTACAATAAGCCCTTAAAATTTTAAACCCCTCGCTCTTCAATGCCCCCTATATATTCCTCGAACGAAATTATCGAGAGGCACGTTGACGAGCAGTAATTCTCCCAGCACGGTGTGGAAACGTGTCTCGCGTACACCCTTGTTGTCCCATGACTGGTCCTGAACCTTGCTGGGAACCTTATATCCCCCCAAGGACAAACCGGAGGAGGCGGATCCTCCTTGTTTCGCGTACGATTATCGGCGATCCGCCACTTACACGTTTGCGTATCTGCGCATTTCTGTGTTTCCATCGTGTTACCACGCGACGTGACGATTCCCGTACGTGAGTTATTTCCGCGCGCGGGGTCCAACGAGCCGTGTCGCCCCACGTTGCCACGACGTCACTTCCGTCTAGGCAGGTTGAACAAACCCTGGCTTGTTTTACGCGTGACAATGGTCTCGGGAATGGACTCGTAAAACGTACAGTGTTTCGTGCGAGTTTTATGGGCTTCTACTATTTATTCTGCGCGAATGTTAGTTTATCCTTCTTTTTTAACTGCCTGCCGTTACGTGCGCCTAGCGTCCAGCGTGGATAAAATCCACCCCCACGCTCCCCAATTATATATTTAGACCCGACGATCGATGTTTCCGGAATCGATTCGCATTATCGGCCGCGCCCGTTGAATGGGAATTATTCGATTTCAGCGTGCGGACGTGCGGCGCGAAACGAATCGCCGCGAAATATTGAATGAATATTGGTGATAAAGGATGATTTAATTTTTCATTTTCGTACGGAGCATATCGAATGAGAAAGTTCTAATAATCGAAGATTCTATTCGGATATCTTCGTTGTATTATTTCACGTTGGATTCGAGGATGTTCGCGTGAAAGAGATATTTTAAACCGCCTCTCCTTTCCTTTTCACGCTATAAATCAACACCACGAGATTTAACCAACCACGCTTGCGATCCAAACAAGTATCGAAAGACCAACAACTTCCACCCGATAACTAAACCGAGCTAAACTCTCGAAACATCAAAGTTCCCGCGTATATAAATATCCACGATAGTTTCTCCAAAATTTCTAACGCAGGCATCCTACTATACCTCGTTGTTTCCCGCACGATTGGGGATAAATCGCCAACCCGACCGATCCCGAACGCTTGGAACAAAAGTCGCGCACGTTCGTTGCACTCCGAATTTAGAATGCGATCACGGTACAATGACCCAGATAGCCGTTCAGCCTCGTTAAAAGGGGAACCCTTGCTCGTGGCCCTCCCGCGCGTCAAGTATCAATTAAACCTTGCCTTCGTTCTCCCGATCTCCCATGTAATTGGTCCATCGGACCAACGGATCGCTCCCTTGAACTGGTAATATATTTCTGGCCGAAGAAACGCGCGAAAGGCTCGCTCCATTCCTCTCTCTCTCTCTCTCTGTGTGTCTCTCGACGTTTCGTTCTAGCTCGGGTATACACTTTCTTCTTCTTCGTTGAGGAAAGAGAAGCGAGATGGAAAAGTCGAATGAAATAACGCGGTTCTCGTTAAAAATCCTTTTGTCAGCCTCTTTAAAAGGGCCACGCGCTTGTGTCAATCTCGGATACGGGATTTTTTTGACGGGAGATAATATGGATATCTGATGCGGGGAGATAAATGATTCGAGAGATTCGTGAATAAGTTAGTTAGTAAAAGAGAGGAAGTTGGCGTGGATGGAAAGTTGGAAAGTATTTTTTCGAACGTGTCCTCCTCGAGTGGGTTCTTCGCGAAATCTTTATTATCGCTTTCGTAGATTCGATGAAAAGAGAAGAGATAATTCTCGATGCACAAGGGGCCGCGATTTGGATCTGCAAAGAGCACTGGTTGAAGGGAGCAACCTGCCAAATGAGGAGCGCGTCGACCGTGCCCGTATAAGTCACAGTCATGACATTAAGTGGTTCACGCGCTCACTGCCATACTGCTTTTATATGGTCCAGCTTCAACTTTCCATTCGAGCTAAGAATTTCACGAAAATATCGCACCACTCAAAATATATACATCGATATCCATTTAAGATCCAACTTCAAATTGTCGTCATTTACCTTATCCACCATTTATTCAAAATTCAACAAGAGTTAATCGCTCCTAATAATAATCATTCTCAACAAAATATTTCTCAAAAGATCGAAATCGCGAAGAGACTCGAACAAGGGTTGAAAAGTTGGTTATCAGCATTTTAAATCACGACATCCAAGCCGATTTTTATTATGGCACTCGGAGCCAGCCGCGGTGAATTCGCGCAGTGTCGTCTCGTCTCGACTCGTCTCGAAACAAGAGCGAGCCGAACGAATTGTGAGAACAAAAACGGCGTACGCTTCTCACGAGCCTCATCGATTCTGCCCGGTTGAAATTCCCCCTGTTCGAAAGTATGGTATCGTTTGTACCAAGGGGAGGGGGGGGGGAGGCAAAGAAATAGAGGAGAACGACATTCCATGAATTTCCATCGCGGTTTGCTCCTCCTCCGGCTGGCTGGCTGGCCGCGGATTTCTTCATTGACAATCGTGATTCAGTAACGAGCCTCCGGGAATCGTACGGTTCGAGGAGGCTCTCCTCCTTCTCCTCCCCCTCCTCGATTCACGGGACGTTGAGGAGGACAAAGACGATGGATCACGGTTCAGCCTCGTGAGTGGCAATTAACCGCGGACCAGATCTGGATTTCCAAGCTGGACGCGACCTGTTTTTGCGGCCTTCGATTCGCCTCTCGACCGAGCATTTTCATTATTTCAGATCCGGCGACAACTGTGCGCCGATAAACATTTCCGCTCCATTTTCCAACGGAAACGACGGATAGGATCCCTTCGTGTTTTAAACGTAGCTCGAGGAGAGGTGGAGTAGGGAAAAGAGTTTTCTTTGATTTATCCGTCTCTCGTGGCGGATTCTTGATTTTCGGATGGATAGATCCTCACAGTGTCATGTAAACGTTGTGCTGTGTAGAAGCGTTGGCCGATGAAATTTTGGAGATAAGCCAACGAGCGTTTGTTAAATGAAGGATAATTTAAATGAAATATCGGTGGAGATAGGTGTTCTGAAACTCTGTTTCGTGCAAAATTCGAAGTTGAATGAATCAAGGCGCATTGTTAAAGTAAAATTTCGATCGAGTTAAATGCATTAGAAGAGAATACAAGTGTTTTCTACGAGCAGCTTGAAGAAAATTATTTAATCTAATGCCATTAATTATATAGTCACGGAATAGTTGGCCTTGTCTGCTTCTCGCACATCCGGTATTATTCTCGAACAACAGGCGATTGCGCCAATCCGAGAATACGAGACGTGAATTCCGCTCTAACCGAAGGATATCGTTCGTTGTACAAATTGTTTGAGCTTGTTTCCAAGTGAAGTTATTCGATAAATTAAAAGAGGAAATCAAAATGCAAATTTTCTTAGATTCGAATATACGAAGCAACATTTTAAGAGAGGAATTAAGTATAATTATTAATAACGCAATTAAAATAGTTGTATGATATTCCTATTAATTAATTTCCTCAATTAAAAAATTTCGCGTTATCGCATTTAATTAACTTCCTCAATTTAGGAAGAGTTGGGTTTAATTAAGACAATTTCCTATGTAATTTTAAAAATAGTTGTAGATCTAAAATCTTGAAACTTTTTCTTCGATTACTTTCGTAGGATATGAAAATATTATATTCCCAAGAAGAAAAAGAACATCAAAGAATAATGCAAATAATAGGTGACACGATTTCTGTTTCTAACAAGAACTCGTTAAATGTTAGTCATAAAATCTTTATGAGAGTTAAATCCTGATAGAACCACGTTCTGATTGGTCGATTAACGGCACGTAATCGGGGCATTTAACCAGTTATTAAGGATCAGCCCTCGTTTTCGTGATCGAATATTCAAATTCTCGAAGAATTACTGGTAATCCATCGAAGATACAAATCGATCGTCGAATTATCACGTGATTCTCTCCGATAAATTCTCTGTAATAACTTGTTCAATTTTCGACTCTTCGGGCCGAAATTATATCCTATAAAACAAAATTATTACATTAAAGGGAATTAACGTTATGGAAGATACGAATATGGATACGAGGATACTTTAAACTATTAAAATAAAAACGTAGGATTATTAAATTTTACTACATTTCGTTCATAATATTTAACGATCAAAAAGTTCCTTAACAAATTTAATTTCGACATTTCTTCCAAATTCGTCATATCCAAAAATTAACAAAAAATAAGTAAAAATTCTCCACTTAAAACCAACCGATTTAACAACATCCAAAAAAAAATAAACAAATATTCTTCGCCAGAAACAGAGGATCGATTTAAGAGAATACTCTTTCGTATCCACATTTTCATCGCAATACCAACATTTTACAAATTCCATTACGAAAAAAAAGATCGACGAAACGAACAACGACAAATAAATAAATGCATCCAATCCACAAAAAAAAAAGGGCTCGATCGATCCGAGAAGAAGAAACCAGCAGCCTCCATCTCTCCTTAATGAACTTACACACGTACGTTGCGAGGCCACCTTCGCAAGAACTAAATCCTCATTTAACCAGATCTAGATCTCGAGACGTTGATCGACGGATCGGGCTCGATCTCGTCCATCCTCTCGCTCCTCTGTTCTGCCACCGAGTGCCCGTTTCACGATCCAATTTCCATCTGTTCCCGCGCCGGCTAGTTCGCTCCTCGTAAATAGAGGAGACGCTTTTACGTTAATCGGCCATAAGGAGCGTACGAGCAACTTAGCCTCCTCCAACGCCCGTGTTACGGTATCACGGGGATGCAAATTTCGCCGATATCGGCGAATGAGCTTGCTAATTTCGACGGTTATCCGCTAATGCAAAATTCCACGCCGGTGTGTACGTGGCCTGTTTCATTTGGTCGAAAATAGAACCTCTCTGTTCGATATCGTCCAACAGGCATGCAAACTCTGCCTCTTCGTGTCCGATTAGACCACGGCCATGGATTAGAGGACAAGGTTTCGAGCGCCTCCTTTAAGGCTCGAGATTAGAAGCGTGGCGCGGGTAATTTTCCAATTTGAATTTCATCAGTTGTTGATAAAGGGGTGTGGTGGAAGGAATATTTAATACGTTCGGCGCGGAATACGGGAGAGATTTATTTTCTTCGAGTACGGTTTCACGGGAGAGATTCGATTCTCTGTTTAAATAATAGAGATTGTGCGTGGAATAAGCGTAAATGAAAATCAAGAAGCGCGATCGAGAGAGAAGTAAGAAATTCCAGAGACCTTGGTGCAGTTTTGAATCGAGAAAAAACACGTGCTTTAATGCGGCAGAATTAGTTACGAGTAAATCGTTGATTTCATTACTTCGCTCCTTTATTACTCTCGCTATCGCGTGTTTTATCGTACCCTCGTATCCGCGTGGTCGTGAGTTTAACGAGAGAACTTGTTTGATTTGCTCTAGTTAAGATTCAGTTTAGATCAATGCAGGATTAATTGCGCCGCGTGTAACAGACGGATTTCCGGTCTGCACTTATCGAAACGACTGGATAAATAAAAAGAAAAAAATGTTCGAGGCAAATACTATGGAACGTTGACACGCGAGCAAACTAGGGATAAATTATAAAACGTTTCAAAATTTATGTAACGAGTATAGATATGATATACAGATAGATTCATAATTGACCGATTGCATTTTTCTTACTCGTCCATTTTATTTGGTTTTTCATTAAGCCATTAATTCCATTAGCAACGATGAATGAAACAAACGATTAAATAAATAAATCTTTGTCCGCTTTCGAATCGAATGGAATATTTCGAACATTTACCGATAAATTTTCGGGAAAAATATTCAGCAAACAAAAAAATAGAGAGAAAAAAGAGGAAGAAGAAATTAAACACAATATTTCATTCCTCCTTAATTATTCCAAAATCTAAATTCAAATTCCGTATATAATAGAAAATGAACCTAGGACAAAATTAATTTGCAAATATTATATTACTGATTTTACAAGCGAGAATGAAACTGACGTTAATAACCGGATTAAATATCAAATTCTATATTTCCTTTCAATTTGCTTAAACCAACAAACTCTGTTATCCCCGAATTATACCAGGAATTAAGAATACAAAAACTTTAACCACCGACTTCAATTCAATCCCGCTCGAAAACGCCAATCCCAACCTCGACTCATTACAAAACTCAATATCGCGATCCCATCATCATTCAAACCGCCTCTCCTTCATTTCAATTTCAACTTCTTCCTCCTCCTCCTCCTCCTCCTTCTCCTCTCGAACCGTGCCGTGTCTTCATCCCCGCAATGGCGGGCCGAGTTCCGGCTCCACGGTGTTGTACACGCGAAGAAGAAAACGTCTTTGCCGTGGCACGACGACCGGCGACGACGCCACGCTGTCTGGCGGCCACATTTCTCGAGACCTCTCTCGCAACTCTCTCACGGTGAAATCATTTCGCGGTGCTCGTGCCGCCCGAGGCCGTGCGTGACACTTGTTCGTGCCACGCAGCCTGGAGCCAGCTGGCCAGCCGAAACGGAACAGAGAGGCCGACCCTCTTCTTCCCGTCGCGAGGGAAAGCTGAATCGCGCCTTTTCACGATCCGATCGAACCGGCCGTTGTTCAATTTTCGCTCCGTTTTGGAGAGAAATTGCCGGATCACCTTGTTCGGCTCGAAATTGATCTAGCAGAGATCTCTCGGATCGATACTTTAGTTTCGTGCGAACGAATTGTTCCTTCTCTTCTAATGAAGAAATTTTTCAAGATCGGTCTGAACGATTTGTTTTCAGCAGTTATTTGCAACCGAGGGAGTAAGTTTCTCTTTATCGAGCAACACTGTTCGATCTCGAACGTTCACTTTCGAGTGCAGCCAAGTAGAGGATAAACAAGATCGTTATCCCTATCGTTCCCAAAGTACACGGTCTCTCTAAACATCTCGCGTTGCGCAACACGAACAAACAGACTCGAGGTAAACTTTGGAATTTCTTTCCAAATCGCGCAGAATGCGATTAACACCGGACCACCTGGTTGAGAAATGGCCACCGCGACACGCCGTTAAAATAACACGAAAAATTCCTACCAATCGAAATTTCTCAATCCTCGTTGATGCAGTTCCACGAATTCCACCGAAATACCATCGGGATCGTTTTATCGAACGCTCGAACAATAACCTCTTTTCTACAAATTCCCCTACTTTTCGATCGAAAATATCGCCAGAAACGTTCTAGAAAGATTCTGTTGTCGCAGAGATCGGTCCAATTACCACCAACGGCCGTCATATCTCGCTGCTTTATTTGGCCACGATTATCAAAAGCTCCTTCTGCACGCATCCTAGACAGCCGGTCGATCCAAAGACGAAGCTCAACGTGTGTGCCCGCAGAGTGCGGGTATCGTTAGCGTGCTCGCGGGCGAGCCGGCGTATTACCATAAATTTCCATCGGACCGTTCAGAAGCCAATTAGCGTAAGTCACACCGAGATGAAGACCGCGATACGCGGTTTTACTTAAATCAACCGCGTGGAGGGAGAGAAAGAGAGAGAACCGTTTTAATACCGTGCAATCGGCGCGGCGAGCGCCAACGTATCTGGAATGGCACACTCAGATAAGCCGACGCGATATTTTCACGAAATTAAGTTAAACCTGTTATATCGTCTCGGCCGTTTGACACGTACACGCAACCGGTCACGGATACTTCTCCATATTTCCGACCATCTACGCGGTTCCTCTACTAATCCCCTGGCTGGAGACTGGAAATGGAGGTTAAAAGAGTCCTGTAAGAGTTGGGACGGGGCGATAAACCACGTCGAACAAAGTTGTCAGGCTTATTGGCGGTCGATCGATCGTTTTATCGGCCGGTTAAGCCTGACCTCCGCTATCGCGATCCCCGTGTTCCGCGATAAGGGGTGCTCGTGGATTTTATCGGGCGTAAGCGCGGAATTTTCTGGCATGCACGCGTCCCTCTTCTTCTTTCAATAAAATCTGCCCGTTTTCCAACATTCGTGTTCGTCGAAACGAAGGATGGCGTTCTAAAAAGTAGAGGATCATCGTTGAACACAAAGTTTGACGAAACTTTCTCCAAAGAAAAGAACTCAAACAAACGTCCCTCCCAACGCATGGCATGGCGATATCGAAAACGACGATTGCGAGCAAGAAACAGCGACAAGGAGAAAACGATCCTTTCTTCTTGACACGAAAACATCGATCAACCGATCCTCGGTTAACTTTAAGAAGAATTAAGAAAAAAAAAAAAAAAGGAAAACACATCTCTGACGCGTCCTCCCAATAATGAAATTCTCATCGCGAGGACGAACGAGAGGAGAGATCGGTGGAGGATAGAAGATAGGGAAAGAGCGTTTGAATTGGTATGGGAGACGTGAGCGAGCCACGATCCAATTATGCAGGCCATGCGGGATGCGCATCTCGCAGTTTAAGTTTCCTCGAGCGTCCAACTATTCTAGGCGAGGAGTCGCGTGATCGTACAGGTGCGAAACTCGTGCAACGCACCGCTAAAAACTAGATCCAACTAGGCCTACGCTTCTGCGGATCATTATAACGGTCCGGCATAGAAATGTATGTATGCACGCGCGAACATTTATGAGAGAACGAGACAATGTAATGATACGTTTTGGCCTGAATCAAGAGATTGGAAATGGATACGTGTGGGTAGAGAAATAAACGAAAACGAGACGCGTGGCAATGAGCGGTTAATCTATGTGGATCGCGAGTTAATCGGAATCGAGGGGACCGTTAACGCTTAGAACGCTGTGGGCGGACGTATTCGTGAAAATCGTTGCTGCGACCTGTAAAAGGCGGATACATAATGATACGTTCCGCCTAATGGCGAATGGGCTCAATTATCTGCAATTATCCGATTTTATTAGTCGGGGGTCTTAAATTATACGACCGATTAAGGGGGTTTCAGGCCTAGTCTGATAAAACGGTAACAGTTTTATGCATCAGTTCGAATGGGAAAAATATAATAAAGTTCATGAAGCACTGAGTGAGAAAGGATTACAGGCCCACCTGCGACCTACTGTTCGATTGTACACACCTGCCATACAGCATCCACGTTCAATTTCGTACGTCAAGGATTAAGACACGAAGCCCAAATTTGTATTTCTTCTCTCTTTTTTTTTTTCATCTTACTTTATTATTATTAAATATTGCTCTCGTCTACATTCGGAATCGGCCCACACCGTACATTTATATTTACGACCATTAATGACCGCTTCCAGTTAAATGATACATTGCACACCGCGTGGCAAAAATGTGCCGTAGCTTCATTGCCTTTGCCAAGGTTCGGCTCGAAAATTTTTTTCTCTCGATCGAGGGGAGAGGAGCTTCGATCGGGCACTTTCCACGAGGGAGAAACGATCGAAACAACGAAAAATGGCACGCTTTCGACGATTTCCGTCGAATTTAAGCCAATGCCCAATGATATAATCGAGTATAAGAAAGTTTCGAGCGCCTCGTTCTTAATACGATCGCAATTAGAGGAAGAACGTGCAATTATTAGGAAAGCTGTACGATCTGGGAAATCGAAAATTATTTCCTGCTATTTTTTTTTCTTCTTTTTTTTTTTTTTTCGTTTTTTTGCAAACGTGATGAGAGCGTACACGGTGTTCCAAGAACGGAAGCGTATCCTGTGATCATGCACCAGGATCGTTTTATTGGATACCTGGTGGCGTTAATTTTATAATCAACCGATCTGTCGATAATTACACGATCAAATCTGCTAAACTTCCTTTGGAAAATTAAATTCAAATGCTCGATTATTAAAATATATTATTAATTATAAAAAGAATTACTTTGTCGTTCTTTCTCTTAGGAATATTTCTATGTATTTATATTCCTTCGACTTTGGATGCTCGAATTGTCGGCATTATATTTTCTGAAAAATTAACCAGGGCTCTACTAAAAGAATGTATCGAAAAATCTATTTTTCAACACGTTCGAATATCACATACCATATTTCTATCGAATAGTTTCATTTGATCACACGATATATAGAGGATTCCCAAAATGTGGCATGACGATACGTAACAAAATTTTATCAAGTTTCAGATTCTAATAATTACTAAAGATCCGCGTGCCAAAATTTAAATATAACTAGGAAAATCAATTCCAACTATCTAATTCCCCCCACAATCTATTCTCCACATATAATTCCATCGTAGACCAAAACCATCTCATCCAAAAACTCGAAACATTGCCTCTCCTCGATTATCATGGATAACTGTAACGACGTTCCACGACTATCGAGGATTAATCCGAAATTAGCCGCGCTCGAAGAAGCTGCTGCTGGGGTCGGTCCTCGGGCAGGTTGACAGGCGCAACGGCAGCCGACATTCCTTCGTCAATCGGAGTAAACCGGTTGCCATAAATTCGCGCGAACGAACGCGACTGTCCCGTGGCCCGTTTCAGCCCGTTTCTGCCGGCGATACCAGTATCCGCTTGCCGGAGTACTTTTTCTCCTAGTACGGCCACTCTGGTTCTCGATCCGCGCGACGCGACGCGACGCGTGAACGCGCCGATCGCCTGTATAAATCGCGCGACACCGCAAAAACCTCGTATTATATTTTGCAACGAGCCAAGAGCTCTCTGTCTCTCTCGTTGAAATAACTCTTTTTCTCTTTTTTCTTTTTTGTTTTCGTATTTTCGTCCGCAATATTCAGATGTTTTTGAAGATTTATCGATCGTGACGGTGAAATATTGGGATGTCGCGTCAGGTGGGTTCGAAGATTTATTACACGAGGAAGAAACTTTGTAAAACTTTGTTCCTTTTTTTTTTTTTTTAATCGCGATTTATAGTACGGAGAAGCTTCGAAAGAAAGGGTTACAAGGTGAAAAGTGAAGTAAGTTTGGAATGTTCTGGTAGAATAGAAATAGAATGGAAAAGAGAATATAGAATTATAGGCGAGGTCAACAGGAGAGCTTTCAATTTCTTCTTCTTTTTTTTTTTTTTCTGTCACGAAAAAAATAGGAATTTTCGGAACGATTTCGAATATATGTATGTTTACTACATGTACAACAGCTTTGTTTTCGAGTTTGGATCGTTAGTTTTTCGATTCCAGCATACGAGAGGTTTACGAGTTTCCATTAATCCACGTCGTAGCTTAAAGCGGCGAGACACTCGATCTTCGTGTTACTTCGCCACTGCTAACTGGATACCTTTTTCCCCGTACTGATGAATATTCATCGGCAATTTATCACGATGCAAAAATCGAGCCGTTTTCGATTAAAATCGGCTCCCGACGTTTCAAACTCATGACTATTTCTGTTCC